AGGTGGCTCTCCTTCCCGTGGGAACGAAAGCTGACCCTGCTGAGACCTGGAGGTGGAAATTGATGACACCAGGCAATGTTGATTTACTTCTATTGGGGAATGTGACTTTTGGGGGTTGTTTCTAATTTTCAGTATTAGGTGGTGTAATTCCGGGTTGTGTCAGATTCAGAATTACAACAGACTTTGCCAATTTGATGCTTTCCTAAATAAAAGAACTTGTTTTGGAAGATGGAGTTTGCTCTTTTTCTTTTTAATTAAATTTCATCACTTGGAAACCTGACAATAATACTATTTGTAGCTCAGGGTTGAAATGAGGGGTCCTTGGTGCTCTCTGAGCTTGGTAGTTTTCTTGCAGACATTTCATTACCCCAACTAGGTAACATCATCAGTGACTGATGTTGATACCTAGTTCGGGTAATGAAATGTCTGTAAGAAAACCACCAAGCTCAGGGAGCACCGAGGACCTCTAATGTTCTATGTATGTCTGAATAAAATCTGTCTGTCTGTCTGTCTCTCTCTCTCTCTTGCACCTGTCCAGTATCCTTTATGCTGATATTTAAATTTACCCATCAACCCCGTTGATCTCTATCTAGAAAGACAAAAACACTTGCATTGCAATCTTAAATCCCCTTTCCTTGGGAGTAAGCATCATTGAACTGGAGGGGACTTAGGGGACTTAGCCGGGATTTCGAGCGCCTCCAACACATAACCAATGCCCACACTTCTGCAGAGAGAAGCCCCAGAGGGAGTCACCGTTGAGACGGTGAAGACCCATTTCGAGATTGAAATAGATTTCTGACGCTCCGATCGTTTATCTTCTCGGGATGCGATTTCAATCAGAGGGGCAAAATGATGAATCGTTTGACAAGACTTTCTGTTTTTCGTTCCCTTGCCTTCCCACTTGCAGAGGCTAAAATGTAATACACTTCACACACACACACACACCAGTCCTTTGTGGCTATTATGGGCTTCCACGTGCAGCGTGACCTTGGCCAGCCAAAGCCTGTTCGGTTAGCACAAAATCTTAATCATGAGAAGTCGTAAGTAGAAGCCTTCGTCTTTATTGCCCCCTTCCCACTCACCCCTTGGAAATTTATGGTTGGGGGGGGACAGGTAGGATATGAGCGGTAGGCCAAATGGAGTACAGGGTTATCTCATCTCTGTGAAAACGGCGCTCGGAAATCGATGTGACCTCTGCTAGGCTGTCACCGTATCCCCACCCTTGGCGTCCTATTTGTCTTTGTTCGGGAGCTGAGATCTGGAGGCTGTCTCCCTGGCTCTCTCTTGGGCCAGATTATCAAAATGAATCATGGCTGTTATATTTCTATTTATTTTCCTGTTGTTGACTGGCCTGGGTGAAATATGACTTCTGTTTGCATTTGATCCTCACTGCAGCCAGTGGCACCTAATTTAGCCATGTCTATCTCTTTAAAGAAGACTAATGCTACTTTGGAGCTTCAATCTGCCCTGCCTTCTTCACATTACGGCACATTTGACTCTCTGCGCCAGCCGCCAGCTGATACGAATTTTTGTACGGTACATTTTCACGGCGTTGCTTTCTCCCTGCTCAGCATTGCTAGGTTGTTTTAAGACAGCATGCTGCTCCAAATCCATTTCTTACAACTTCCTTTTCTCTCCCTCTCCCTCCCTCCCTCTTTCCCTCTCTCTCTCTCTCTCTCTCTCTCTCTCTCTTCTTCCCTTTCTCTCTTTTCTTCAATTTACCTTATTTTTCTCTTTTAGGGCAAAGCAGTTAAGACAATATCTGGGTTTTTAAAAAAATTATTTGCATGAAATATCTAAGTAAACACACACACACACACACACACACACACAATTGTAGCCTAATAAGGGAAGACTATGTGTTAAGATTGATTTTCAAAAAGATGTGAAGGAAGATTGATTTTTTTTTAAAAAGATAATAACTGGGAGGTCAGGCAAAACACAAATGGTTAAACCTTTATCTGAAATATTAACTGTAGTGATATTACAAGAAGCGGAATTTTAGCAATCCAAAATAATCTACTGCTGCATATCCTAAACCAGAGGTCCCCAAACTTGGCAACTTTAACAGTTGTGGACTTAAACTCCCAGAATTCTCCAGTCAACTATGACTACAAATCCATGGAGGAATGTCTTTCAAGCTTTGACATTCACACAAGAAGCATTATCACTTGCTCGATGTATATTTTATAGCCTAGTCCCATGATGGCGAACCTATTGCATGCCTGCCACATGTGGCACGCAGAGCCATTTGTGCCGACATGCGAGCTGCAGACAAACTTACCTCACTGCATATGCATTGCGCCTCACAGCTGATTTTTCGTCTGGTTTGAGGCCTTTTTCAGCCTCCCAGAGGCTTGGATAAAGCCTCCACAAGGCTTTTCAGGATGAATAGTCCCATTTTGTCACTTCCTGTAATACCGGAAGTGACAAAATAGGTATATTATTCAGCCTGAAAAGCCTTGTGGAGGCTCTTTCCGAAAAAGGCCTCAAACCGGACGAAAAATCAGCTGTGAGGCGCAATGCAAGTAAGGGGGTAGCGGGGGGATTGCATGCGCAGAGGGTGTGTGTGGGGGCGTTCATTGCATTCTGGGTGCTGGCACATGAGTGCGCATGCACTAATGCACGTGCAATTTTTGGCACAGGAGCCCAAAAAGATTAGCCACCTCTCGTTATTTAAAGGCAAAAAGCCAACTCACATCATTTCATGGTTTCCTCTTAAATCAGGTTAGGACAGACCACCGAAGGATGTATAGAGTGTAGTTTCAAGTGTTGAATTAAATGTTTTTGGAAGGTTTCCAAAATGGGTGTTAAATCCTGAACTGCTTGAACAATTCCTTTTGTCTCAGTGATCTAGGATAGGACCTTGCAAACATCTATCTTGGATCCTTGTTTCATTGAATTTTAACTTGCTGTCCTAGACTCCAAAAGTTGCTGAAGGGTCACTCTAGCCTGTATTTTTATTTCCCACATTGTCAAAAAGTACCCTGGAGGTCATTTCCGTGGTGTCTTAACTTAATATCTTCATTATTATTAATCGTTTAAGAATTGTTGAAATTTCTTGATAGAAATGTACTGCTCAGCTGTGTTGTTCAAAAGGCACTAGGAATTCTAGTCAATTTAGGATTTGAGGTGGATGGTTATATAAATCAAATAATTAAATAAAGAAAATATATGGCTCCATTGGAGATAGTGTATGAGGCATGGTGGCTCAGTGGCTTAAAAGACAGCAGAGAAGGTCTCTGCTTCGCCGGTTCAAGTCCTGTCACCATGTGATGGGGTGAGCTCCCATTTTTGCCTCAGTTCCTGACCAGCTAGCAGTTTGAAAGCATGTAAATGCAAGTAGATAAATAGGTACCACTTCAGTGGGAAGATAACAGCGTTTCCATGCTTTGCCGTATGCTCTACACAGCGGTGTAACATCATGCTGGCCACATGATTGCAGAAATGTCTTCAGACAGTGCTGCCTCAGTGGTCTTGAAACTGAAATTACCACTGACCTCCTAAGGTTGGCTAATAAGGTACCTCTGCATACAGATAGTCCTCATTTAATGACCATACAGCAACTGTTCAGTGTTATGGTGGCACTGAAGACATGATATTTTTGACTGGTCCTTGAACTTCTGGCTATCCCAGCATCCCTGTAGTCATATGATTGGGATCTGGGTGCTTGGCACTTGGCAAAAAGGCTCTTACTTTGTCATAAAATGTTCTTGTTTATTCCTGGGACATTTGAGAATTTGTTTCTAATTCCTCTTGATGGCTGTTGTTTTTCTAGCTCAGTTTACTGTAGGAGTGGCAAAGACAATTATGACTGCCATTGTTTTCATTGTCACATTTTCCCATTACTCTGAACTTCTATGCAATCTACCCTTCTCAGCTGGAAAAACCTCTGTGGAGGAGTTGCTTCCTCAGGTCTCGGGATTTAATTAAACAATTGAAGCTGGTAGAGCTACAAATCACCGGTGTGGTGACTATATAATGAAAAGATTGACCATTTGCACAGATTCTTGACTTGCTTAATCACAGGATAAGTGCAAGGACTCTGTGTTCCACCCCAAATTCTCACTTCCTTTGAATGAAATTTGTCGGTTAAATTATCTTCTGCCTAATTGAATGAGAACTGGTTGAAAGTGCAGGAGAAACTTGACACACTGATAAACCGAACCTTTGGATTTCTGCAGGATCATTACAGGGAACACAAACAGGAAAACAATTGTGACATTCTGGCTTCTATGTAGTCTGTCAGGGCTCCGGCAGCTACCCCCTTTCAAATCATGAGTCTCGAGCCAAACTTCCAAAACTTAAAAAGGATTTATTGGGAGTTAACATGCTGGCACTGCCTGGGTGTAGCCGACTCTGAGACACATAATTCATTGTCACCCTTCATCCTGGTTTTCCCCCACCCCCTTCATATTCTCCAATGAGACACATCCATAGCCAAGAGTGATCAATCATGCTCTCCAGTTAGAATTTTGCGTTGCAGAAACTTCAGTCACTTAGTTACTGAAAACATTTATGGAATGCAGTTTTCGGTTTTGCAAGATGCTACACTGCTCCCTCTTCCCTTTCTGTTGGAAATTCTAAAAAAATCAGCGAAATATTTTATGAGTTGACATAGGCATTATTTAAGGGTCTGATGAGCCACTATGAAGACAGAATATTGGAATAGATGGGTTTGGGGCAAAAGTCTTATTTTTTCCCAGTTTTAATTGTTCACTTGAGTTCATCATTTGTTCTTTCAATTTCTATCCCTGACTTTCACTCAGATGTTCAAAGTGGGGTATATACCCCTCTCTTCTCCTATTCCCCACCCCCTCCAGCACATAGCCCCCTAGGTAAGTTGAGCTGAAAGAGTGACTGGGGCTGAAGCAAGATAAGACACAATGTCTCTTTGATGTCAGTCCCATCATCTTATTCCCAATCTCCATCATCGCTCGGTGCTCCTCAAGTGACCAGATTGCTTACGTACAACCTCTTTTTGGTCTTGTGTCTTACAGAAGAAGTCCAGATCGCCATCCCAATACTCAAACCAACCCTAGAAAAGGTCCAACTGGCTGGGCAGACTTTGCCCCCTGGATTTCCAGCACCGTTCCTCTTTGCGGATGGGTTGTCTTCAGTGGAAACTCTATTAACCAATATTCAGGTCAGGAAGTGCTGTGGTTATACTCTAAGGCTGTCTGCAAATGTATAAAAGAGAGAGAGAATTAGCTCTGTTTAGACCAGGGGTGTCAAACTCGTCACATCACGTTGCCGTCACATGATGTATTGCAATGTTTTTCCCCTTCGTGGAGCTGGGGTAGGCATGGCTCATGCGTGACGCATCTGGCCCGCCAGTTTAACACCCCTGGTTTACACTAATCTTCAGATCCTCCAAAAACATGAGATTTCGGAAATGGTCAGTGGTGGATTTCCCATAAATATGGCATGATACATTTGGCATGATATATTTGGAAGCTCAGTGCCCAGCGTAAGGGTTTATGGTTTATACCAAGGCTTCCTAGACCGTAATTACACACACGCTTATTTTAAAAACAAGTCTTATTTTATTGCAACGCTAGGAATTATTTTAATTCCCAGCTGGTAAGGAATCTCAAACAGTCCCTTGAGATAAGCACCCACCTTTCTTTCCTGTAAAGTGCTGCCAAAAACAGAAGTGTCAAATGAGCTAGAAAAAAAAAACTAACTGAAGTACAAAGAGCTTCAAGAATGAATCTGAACCGAACGAACGACTTTGCTTCCTGCAAAGGTTTTGTCACCTTTGCCTGACCTTTATACCTTATGGGAAGGGCAATCACTTCCCAGCCTTACTCCTGAGTCTCCTCTTTTCTTTCAGCTGCTCTTGCATCCTAGCAGCTCTGCACACACACACACACACACACACACACTGGGAACAGGCTCCCCTGGTTCCTCTTCCTTGCTGCTGCCAGGCTCCGAAGGCAGTACCCCGCTCCCAGATGGTCCTAGACCCATCTCTGCATCAGATGCAAGACCCTCATCTGAGTCCTCCCCAGACTCCCGGACTGGTCCCCGTTCTTCCCCACTGTCCGATTCCGCTGCCATCTACACAACGGCAAACCACAACAGGTTGGCACATTTGTAAACCTTTAGGAAAATATAGAGCTGACCTTAAATGGAAAAAACCTTAATGGAAAACCATTAAAAGGGGTGAAACAGTACAGATAGGTGGTACTTGACTTTTAGCCATTTGTTTAGTGACCATTTGAAATTACGTGGAACTGAAAAAAAGTGTCTTGTGACCGTTTTTCACCCTTACAACCACTGCGGCGTCTCCATGGTCACATGATCAAAATTCAGACGCTTGGCAACTGGCATGTACTGATGACGGTTGCAATGTCCCAGGGTCCCGTGATTCTCCTTTGGCAACCTTCTAGGTAAGCAAAGTCCACGGGGAAGCCAGATTTCTCTTAACAACTATCTTACTTACTGAACAACTGCCGTGTTAAGAACTATGACAAGAAAGAGTCGTAAAACGGGGCCAAACTCACTTAACAAATCAATTACGTGAATCAAGTTAACAAGTTAATAACACATACACACATACATATATATATCTTTGCTAGGATATATATTTTTCCATCGCTATTCTCTGCCTCCTCTTCTTGCATTAATTAGATGTTTTCATTGAGGGAGAGTTCCCCTTTGCCTTTTTTCTTTTTTTTTTTTTTTTAGGGGTTGCTGAAAGTCGCCGTAGATAACGCCCGGGTGCAGGAAAAGCAAATCCAGCAGGAGAAGAAGGAACTAAAGATGGAGCTGTGTAGGGAAAGAGAATTGAGAGAGAACCTGGAAAGGCAGCTTACAGCTGAGCTGCAAAGCAGAGGTAATCTGAGAGGGAAGGAAGCCATGTCTTACCCTCCCAAGGGTGCTTTTTTGCAAGCGGCAATTGGGCTTCCTTGTTTTTTCTCTGAAAAGGTTTCGCTTCTCATCCCAGAAGCTTCTTCAGCTCTGACTGGACGGTGGGGAATGGAAGGATTTATATTCCTTGCAGACAGCGAGTTATTCGCATTCTTTTTAGAGAGTCGTTGAGGCCACTCGGAGTTTTTTCTGTGTCCTCAGGGTTGCCTCAATGACTCTCTAAAAAGGATGCAAATGAGCGCTCAACAAAGGTGGCAAGAAAGGTCGTAACAACTATCTCGCTTAGGAATAGAAATTTGGGTCTCCGATTGGTCCTAAGACAAGGACTATTTGCATGTTCTGACCAAGGCTTCCTAAACCGTAATTACGCACACACTTATTTTAAAAACAAGTCTTATTTTATTGCAATGCTGGGAATTGTTTTCATTCCCAGCCAGTAATGAATCTCAAATAGTTCCTCGAGATAAGCACCCACCTTTCTTTTCTGTGAAGTGCTGCCAATAACAGAAGTGTCAAATGAACTAGAAAAAAAAAAACCAACTAAAGTACAAAGAGCTTCAAGAATGAATCTGAACTGAACGAACGACTTTGCTTCCTGCAAAGGTTTCCTCATCTTGGCCTGACCTTTATCCCTGATGGGAGGGGCAATCACCTCCCAGCCTTACTCCCGAGTCACCCCTTTTGTCTCAGCTGCTCTCGCCTTCTAGCAACTCTGCCCATATGCGCACTGGGAACAGGCTCCCTGGGGTCTTCTACCTCGCTGCTGCTAGACTCTGGAGGCACCGGAGGCAGCACACAACTCCCAGATGGGACGCAGGACCCTCATCTGAGTCCTCCCCAGACTCCTGCACTGGTCTCCGTTCTTCCCCACTGTCCGATTCCTCTGCCGTCTGCACCAGCTGCCGGCGAACCACAACGCTGCATATAGCAGCACAATCACTGACAAAAGTCCTCCTGCGCATCAGATGCCAAACCAAATTGTCAGCGGAGGTGTCCTTCTGTTGTCACATTTTGGGGAAATCCCTGTTCCTAAAGTCTCTGTTGCTCTTTCAGCCACAATTCAAAAGCGCTTGAAAAAGGAGAAGAAAGCGAAGAGGAAATTGCAGGAAGCTCTGGAGTTTGAATCAAAGCGGAGAGAGCAAGTAGAACAAGCACTGAAGCAGGCTACATCAGGGGACGGTCTCAGGATGCTGAATGGTAAAAGGATCTTCTGGATCTCATTTAGTCAGCTGTTGGGGGGAGGGGCAGACAGCTAAGTAAGAGTCAAAGCATCCATGGTGCTTTGAGCTTCCTGTAAAAACAAAATAATGGGGATACAAGGTTAAAAAAATGGGGACACAAGTTTAAGAGCCTCAGTGGCGCAGTGGTTAGAGTGCAGTATTGCAGGCTACTTCTGCTGGCTGCCAGCAATTTGACAGTTTGAATCTCACCAGGCTCAAGGTTGACTCAGCCTTCCCTCCTTCCAAGGTGGGTAAAATGAGGACACAGATTGTTGGGGGCGATAGGCTGACTCTGTAAACTGCTTGGAGAGGACCGTGAAAGCACTGTGAAGTGGTGTATAAGTCTGAGTGCTATTGCTATTAACAAATCTTTCCATTATGATTTCATTCTCTGCATTGCACGGTTGACAGTGATATGCATGTTATGCTTGGCAGATGCTGGGATTCCAGACATGGAAGTTGACCATAACGGGACTCAACATGAGAACGCGGCAATGCAAGGTATGTGGTCTTGCATATATACTGTATTGGAGGGATGTCCATGGCACATTGTGCCAGCATTGCTACAGCACAATAAGCCCCGGAGCACAATTAAAAATCAACGTGGGTTAGAATTTCATCACTATAACGCCAACCTCTTGGTGTGTCCAAACAAGAATTCCCACCAATGGGCTATGAAGGTGTACTTAGCACATTTCAACAAGGTATTTAAAGATCAGGAAGTCTATCAGTCCCATCTGCTCTAGCCAAGAATGTTTTCTTGAGCAGGCATACCCCCTTCTATAAACCACTGAGATATTTATATCATATAACTGTCTCTAAATTTTAAAGGATCTAACTCTAGGATGTTGTAACGGCCTCCTCACAGCAGCTGATCCAAAAATGTTCTATAGGAGCTGAGTTTGTCCCGGTGGACAAGAGGCCCTTAAGACCACAACTGATGTTCTGTTATATTGCACCCTCTCTAAGGAAGGACTCATGGACTCATAACTCCTTCAATCAGAATAAACCTGGAACTCCCTGCTTAAGAAGGAGACCCCTTAGACCAGTTCAGACAAGTGGCTGTCCAGTCTCTTCTTAAAATCCTCCCGTGTTGGAGCATCGGCAACTTCTGTTCCACTGGTTAATTGTCCTGACCGTTAGGAAGTTTCTTCTTAATTCCAGGTTGCTTCTATCCTTGGTTGGTTTCCATCCATTGTTTCCTGTCCTGCCCTCTGACAAAAGATAACATCTTACCTGACAAAATATCAAGGAAATCTCGATCTCTTCTACATATCATCGTTCCTATCAAATCAGTAGGCTAACGTTTCTCTAAACATAGCTCAATTCTGTTACATTGCCTGTAAAATTGGGTAGACCTTTCTCACTTATCAATGATTCCACCGTTAATTGCAATCTGACATTATGTCTTGTTTTGTTCTGTTTTATTTTAATGTTTTCATATTTATTCTAGTCTGAGACCTGAATAAAAGATTGAATTGAACTGAGTACGATCTTGCAGTGTTTCTGCACAGGAACTCCTTGACTTATAACTGGTTGTTTAATACCCATTCATAGTTACAACGGGCTCCCATAGTTATAACTAGTTGTTTAACACCCATTCGTAGTTACAACGGGCTCCCAGAAAAAGCTACTTACGACCTTTCCTCCAAATTATGACAGCAATTTAGTCATCATTTGGATATCTAGTTGCCCGTCAGACTGCTAATCCGAAGGAAAGATTTCGATTTAAACCTTCAGGATATTCCAGGGTCCATAATTCACTTATAGCCAAACATGGGGACAGCAGCATCCGTTTCTTTTCATCAACCACTCTCCGTTTCCCATAAAATAAACATACTGGGTGTCATTAAGAGCACCTTCAGATCAATGATTTTTGCAAATGACATTCAAGGACCGTTTGAGGGCTGCCTTTTTGTTTTTTTGTTTTTTTGTGCTGATAAAAGCAAATTAAATTAGCGTAACTATGAGCCGCGCTGATAAAAACGGGGAAGCCAAAACAGCAGCGCCATTAGCGAACAAAGTAATATTTTCTCTTTACTGCTTTCTGCCATTTAGTTATTATCCTATTGGAAATCTAATTATAATCCTTTTACTCCCCAGTCAGACTTCACAGTTTTTGCAAGCTTAGCACTGACATGTGATTTCATTAGATTTGATCGCTTGCGCCCAGATTGACTTCACTTCAGTCGGAGACCTAAAAGGCCTCTCGGCTTCTCAGATTCCCTGTTTGCACATTAAGGCAACAGCTCCTTTAATTAATTAGCATGAACCCGCAGTAACGTGAACTGCTGAACAGAAAATAACCGTCATTTTACGATCGCAGGGAGATTTCTTCTTCTGCCTGTGGATACCTTAGTTAACGTTGGCGCAGCGATCGGCGCAAAGGAAGGGAAGGAACACGGCTGCACATTTTTCATCTTTTCTTTTAGGTTATGCCCTTTTATAAGGCAAGTGCCTGAGAAATGTGAGAATGTGGGGGGAAGGGATCAGGGAGAAGCAAACTAGATCTTCAAGGAAAGAAGCAATCTAGAACAGGGGTCCCCAGCTCCTGGTCCATGGCATGCGAGCAGACGGTCCGTGCAAAAAAGCAAAGCCACATCAGCATGCAAAAACCATGCTCCTTCTGGAAAAATCTTTCCGCGTGGAACCGGCCCTTGGTGCCCCAAAGGTTGGGAGCCACTGACCTAGAACGAAGGAGAAATTTCCTGACAGAGTTAGAAGAATCAATCAGTGGAACAAGAAGTTGTAAATGCTCCAACACTGGAAGTTTTTAAGTGTTTAAGGAAGAGATTGGATAACCATTTGTCTGAAATAGTATAGGGTTTCCTGCCTAAGCAGGGGGTTGGACTAGAAGACCTCCAAGGTCCCTTCCAACTCTGTTATCCTGTGAACAATGCTTGTGAGAAGAAAGACGGTGGAGATTTATAAAGCTATACATGATAGGGTCAGAGTGGATGTAGTAAAGCTTTCATTTCCCTTTTGTAATGCTGTTACTCGACATCCCTTGAAACTGTCTGATAAGAGGTAAAGTAACACCTTGCCCGGCCCAATGATAGGTTCCCCTCTAAGTTCTCAGCGCGCAAGAACTTAATGGAGTGTTGGAGCCTCAGTGGTGCAGTGGTTAGAGTGCACTACTGCAAGCTACTCCTACTGCAGTTTGCCAGTTCGAATCTCACCAGGCTCAAGGTTGACTCAGCCTTCCATCTTTCCGAGGTGGGTAAAATGAGGACCCAGATTGTTGGGGGCAATAGGCTGACTCTGTAAACCGCTTTGAGAGGGCTGTGAAGCACTATAAAGCGGTATATAAGTCTAAGTGCTATTGCTAATGCTGTGTGATCCAGCTGCTGCACTCTTCATTTCAACAGTGGCAGTTTTTAAGAAGAGAGATTGAACAACCCATTTGTCTGAGCAGGGGGTTGGACTAGAAGACCTCCAAGGTCCCTTCCAACTCTTGTTATTCTGTAATCAGAACTTCAGAAGTGATTGTAACTCCATTGTCCCAGGTAACTTGGAACAACGGCTAAGAGCCGGCTCATAAGTCAAGGTCTACCAATAGAGCACACTATTGCAAAGGCAGAATCGGGGATGCTTTCCTTATACTGAGGGACCATTAGTAAATCTAAATTAAAAAATCACAGTGTTTAGAAAACATCACCGGAGACATAGATGGCAATGAGATGGTGAAACAGGGGTGGGGTTGCTGGGAGTTCGGGAGAACCGCTAGCTAAGATTCTGTGCATTTCAGAGAACCCCCAAATCCTATTCCTGGCTGGCCCCGCCCACCCTACCCCGCCCCTCCCATGTGGCCTGTAGGTAAGTGCAGGGGGCACGTGGAGGGTTGGGGAGGGGGAAGAACGGGCCTCCTGGAAGCTCAGCAAGGCCAGAAATGGGCCCATTTCTGGCTTCCAGAGAGCCTCCGGAGTCCAGGAAAGGCTGTTTCTACCCTCCCGGAGGCTCCGGAGGCTCCGGAGTCCGTGGTGCAGGAGACCGACTAGGCCACACCCACTAGGGCCACGCCTACGCAGCAACCAGGTAGAGAACCCTTTGCTAACATTTTTGAAGCCGAACCCTGACGGTGAACCAACTGAACAGATTAATAATACCTTTGTATATTTAGGCATAACCTTTTCCAAGACTGAATCTTAGTCTTGCTCTCATCAACGGAGTACATTGAGGTGCTGAGAGAGAGAGGGAGGGAGGGAGAGAGAGAGAGAGAGAGTCAGTCCTGAAGATTAAAAGTGCTCACTTCCCACTTTGGTTCTGTTTTCCCTCTGTGACTCCAAATATTGAACAAAGAGAACAACATCTAAAATATTATTAACCCAGGAGGGTCGCCTCTAGCCCTAACCCTAACCCTAGGCAAATCAGGCGGCATACAAGGCTAATCCCTAACTCAATAAAAAAAATGAAGTAAATAAATTCGGCTTAAAGGCAAAACGGGCAAGATCTTCAAGCTGTGCAACATAGTTTTCCTTTTCTAAATGCCTTGCTTATTAAGGCAGTCATGCATTTCATGGCAGGTTATAAAAGTCTACCGTGCACCGGGGCCTCGTAAGCATATTTTAGTGTTAGGAAATATCATTTACACCTTTTTATACTGTCAATATGATCTCTGGAGAATTCCACTCCAACTACTGTAAACCCATTCTTTGGCTCAACCTTTGTCTAATTCCCTTTTTAAAGGAGCGAGTGAATATTTGATTTTGGCCTAAAGCTAAAAAGAGAGCACATTTATGGCCCAAAGATTTATTTAAAATCTTGTCAGTGTTCAGGTAGTCCTTGGCTTAAAGGCAGTTTATGTAATAATGGTCCGGATTTGCAACGGTCTTCCCTACATTCCTGAGTTAGGAGGGTCGAAAACGGAGTTCAGGAGGGTCAAAAACAGCTTGGGGGGGGGGTCGAAAACGGAGCTTGGGAGGTTCGAAAACAGAGCTCAGGAGGTCAAAAATGGAGCACAGGAGGGTCAAAAACGGAGTTTGGGAGGGTCAAAAGCAGCTCGGGAGGGTCGAAAATGGAGCTCAGGAGGTTCGAAAACAGGAGGGTCAAAAATGGAGCGCAGGAGGGTCGAAAACGGTTTGGGAGGGTCAAAAACAGCTAGGAAGTGTCAAAACGGAGCTCAGGAGGATCAAAAACAGCTCGGGAGGGTCGAAAACGGAGCTCAGAAGGGTCGAAAACGGAGCTCGGGACGGTCAAAAACGGAGCTCGGGAGGGGTTGAAAACACTGCTCAAGAGAACCGCACGCAACCCTCCCGAGCTCTGTTTTCAGTGGCAGAGACAACATGGGCCGGTCCTTCATTGTTTCCAGGGTGGCCCCACGGGCCATATCTAAGCATCCTGTGGTCCAGATCCAGCCCACAGGCCTTGACTGACACCCCTAGAATAGAGAATATCTAAACTGATGTTTTTTTTTCCATTTCTAAATGTCTCCAAAGCCCAGTTCTGTCCCCTTCTGCCATCCTTCGTTCCCAGGCTCCTGGACATTCCTGAGGCATTAATTTGTCCGTGATATTTATTCGTGTTTATGTTCAGGCTCCATATTGGATTGTTGCTGTTCCATGAGGGCAGGCCTCCTTTAAAACATGAAACATTCAATTCCTAATTAGCCATTTCCTGTCTGTCATGGAGCGAACATGCTGGATGCGGATTGAAATGCAGCTCCTGCCCTCCTCTGTTTATCGTTCCAGATGTTTTTGTTTTAGCTAGGAGTTGACTTTGACAGCTCCCGTTAAATGATAAATCACTCATATTATAGCTGAAATGCATTTCAAAATTGAAATGTAACAAAAGTTCGCAATCGCTCCAAGGATATGTGTCATTTAGCCGGTCAATATAGTTTGTGTCCTAAGGTAGATTTAGTATTGGCACATGCAAATCCAAAAGGCGAGATTAGTCGATTCTTGGCACAGGCTAAGTTGGGTTGATTATTTTTAGTGTGGTTTCTAAAATCAGAAGTTAGTAGCCAGGGCTTTCAATCTGTTCTCGTGGACAAACAAATGCAGATTCCTTTGGTTCTTTTAATGGTTTTATTTATTTTTTCCTTTGACCTTCAAAGCAACAGCAATAGCACTTAGACTTAAATACCGCTTCATGGTGTTTTAAAGCCCTCTCTAGGAAGTTTACAGAGTCAGCATATTACCCCCAACAATCTGGGTTCTTCTTTTACCAACCTCGGAAGGATGGAAGGCTGAGTCAACCTTGAGCCAGTCAGGATTGAACTGCTGACAGTGGGAAAAATTGGCCTGCAACACTGCATTCTAACTACTGGGGAGGGAGGGAGAGAGGGAGGGAGGGAGGGAGGAAGGAAGGAAGGAAGGAAGGAAGGAAGGAAGGAAGGAAGGAAAGGCAATAGCAATAGTACTTAGACTTATATACCGCTTTACAGCCCTCTCTAAGTGGTTTACAGACTCAGCCTATTGCCTCTCAACAACCTGGGTCCTCATTTGACCCATCTCGGAAGGATGGAAGGCTGAGTCAACCTTGAGCCAGTCAGGATCGAACACCTGTCTGTGGTCAGAGTTTGCCAGCAATACTGCACTTTAACCACTGTGCCACCACGGCTTATGAAAGATCATCTTTATTTTTAACAAAAGGAATAAATGTCTCTTGATTTGGCTAGGGTTGACAGGTGAGTAAGGAGGGCCTTGTTGTTCAGCATCCCTGATCATAGTCCACCGAGAACTTCTTGTCTTCTAATATGGGATTGCCAGTGTATATTTACCACATTGTCAGGCTACAAAGAGGCACAGCAGAATGTACAGGTGGTCCTCAACTTACACTAGTCCACTTAGTGACCATTCAAAGTTACAAAGGCACTGGAAAAAGTAACTTAGGACCATTTTTCACACTTACAAACATTGCAGCATTCCCATGGCCACATGATCAAAATTCAGATAGAATAGAATAGAATTCTTTATTGGCCAAGTGTGACTGGACACACAAGGAATTTGTCTTGGTGCAAGTGCTTTCAGTGTACATAAAAGAAAAGATACATTCACCAAGAGTCAAGAATCATCAGGTACAGCACTTAATGATAGCCATAGAGTACAATAAGCAATCAAATCATACTAGGAAACAGTCAATATAAAGTGGCAAAGTTACAGTCATACAGTCACAAGTAGGAGGGGATGGGTGCTAAGGAGTGATGAGAAGATTAATAGTAATAGTAGTGCAGACTTTGTAAATAGTTGGACAGTGTTGAGGGAATTATTTGTTTAGCAGAGTGATGGCTTTTGGGAAAAAAACTGTCCTTGTGTCTTGTTGTTCTGGTGTGCCGGGCTCTATAGCGTCGTTTTGAGGGTAGGAGTTGAAACAGTTTATGTCCGGGATGTGAGGGGTCTGTAAATATGTTCATAGCCCTCTTTTTGACTTTTTGACAGTATACAGGTCCCCAATGGAAGGCAGGTTGGTAGTAATTGTTTTTTCTGTGACCCTAATTATCCTCTGAAGTCTCTGTCTGTCCTGTTGGGTTGCAGAACCAAACCAGACGGTTACAGAGGTGCAGATGACAGACTCAATCATTCCTCTGTAGAACTGGATCAGCAGCTTCTTGGGCAGTTTGACCTTTCTGAGTTGGCACAGAAAGAACATTCTTTGTTGTGCTTTTTTGATGACATTTTTGATGTTAGGTGTCCATTTTAGGTCTTGGGATATGATAGAATCTAGAAATTTGGAGGTCTCTTCTGTTGATACTGTGTTGTTAGAGGTGGTAGTATGGGAGGGTTTTTTCTAAAGTCTACCACCATTTCTATGGTTTCGAGTGTGTTCAGTTCCAGATTGTTCCAGTCACACCACAAGGCAAGTTGTACAACCTCCTATCTGTATGTGGAAGCTTAGGGAAGGATTGGAACTCACCGGCTCCTGGTGATTGGTCCAAAGTCACCCAGTTGACTTTCATGCCTAAGGCAGTACAAGAATTTGTCCTAAGGCAGGACTAGAACTCACAATTTCTGGCTTTCTAATCAGGTGCTCTCCAGTTTGTTATTAACATCGCTAATGCTCTCAGGGGGAAATTGACCGAATGCCAAATGCCAGCTTGACCATTATAACACTATTTATGGACAGTGTGTTGTGTCATAAGTAATATCAAATCTTCAGGCTTAGGTTAATTGATGGTTTGATGCCTTTCTCTGAAAGATTAACCTGATAGATAAGTATATTTAAGAGATTCTAATGTGCACATTGAAGTGGAGTTACAATGATGCAGCAAGCAATTCTTAGGTTTTTCCACTGATTAATTGTTCTGACTGTCAGGAAATTTCTCCTTAGTTCTAAGTTGCTTCTCTCCTTGATTAGTTTCCACCCATTCAGAGGTGGTATTCTGCAGGTTCTGACCAGTTCTGGAGAACCAGTAGTGGAAATTTTGAGTAGTTCGGAGAACCGGCAAATAGCACCTCTGACTGGCCTCACCCCCATCTATTCTCTGCTTCCCGAGTCCCAGCTGATTGGCTGGGTCTTCTTTTGTTGCCCTGTACAGGAGAACGGAGCTGGAAAACAGGTTAGTGAGGTAGGGAGGGAATGGGCTATTGCAGTAACCTTCCCCTGCCACACCCACCAAGCCACGCCCATTGAACCGTTAGTAAAAAAAATTGAATCCCATCACTGCACCCGTTGCTTCTTGTGCTGCCTTCAGGTGCTTTGGAGAATAGCTTGACTCCCTCTTCTTTGTGGCAGCCCCTGAGATATTGGAACACTGCTATCATGTCTCCCCTAGTCCTTCTTTTCATTAGACTAGACATACCCAGTTCCTGCGACCGTTCTTCATATGTTTTATCTTAGGAATTGTATTGTAAGATCTGCCCCAATTTGGGTACCCTGCAGATAAGAGGTGTTACAATTCCCGTTGTTACAGATGAGGATTCGTCTATTGGCCAGTCATGCAAACTGTACTCTAGCACATCTGGAAGTCTCACTTGGCAACAGAAATGTTGAGGTCAATTGTGGACATAAGTCCAGGGCTGCCTTGACACCACCTGTTGTGTATGTCGTCTTCCTAAAAACAGATTTCCATTCCAGCTTTCGAGAACTTCAGATAAAGACAACGGAATGGCAATATCCTCTCCTTCTTTTTTCCCCTCCTTTTCTTTTCCAGAAAACAGAGCATACATCAAACCAACCATTATGTACTGAAGATGCCGAATTTGGCATGTTTGTGTGGGGTGGGGGAGGGGTGGGGGACATGTAACAGTCACTTCTGAAGATTATAAAACTCCTGCAACAGAAGGTCTCTTTCCAATCCTGGATACCCTTCGGTGCGGTGCGAAGACCCAGAACTGGTAGCGGTTGCAAGATGGTAACCTTTGAATCCAGGACTCTCCAATAATTCCCGCGTTGAAAAACCGCTGAACCGTCACTGAGAAATGTGGAGACTCGCAAGCTTGGCCATCCCAAACCTTTTGCAGCAGAACATTTGTAAGTCCTAGAAAAAAAAAACAGAATGGGGAAGAATCCATTTTAGCCTCTTTTTAAGCACATATGATTCCCTGGGAGACAAAAAAAAACAAAACCTGCCTCTGTAGGAGGAACAAGAGAGGGGCGGGCAGCGATGACACCCCTGTTACGATGTCATGATGGAAATTGCCTGCGCCATCGCGATGCCATTACATATTCACCCTGGTTTTGCAAATGAGGTGGTGACACGTGCGTTGTCCTTTTGATGTCATCGTAACAGCCCCAAGCGTAAACCGCAGCCTTCCCCAACTTGGTACCTTCCAAGTTGTGTTGGAACCACAAATCCCAAAACTCAATGGGAGCGTACATGAAATTGAGCCAGGTTGAGGATGGCTGTACAACTGTTTAACAATGGCACAATTAAGTTAATAAGCTGCAGTGGTTCTTTCTGGCCTGTATAATCTACATGTCCAGTTTTTATCACTAAAACAGTTCACCACAGAGCTGTTTCAGTTGTGTTTATAAATTTAAGCTTTGTTTACTGAAGCTGAAAACTCAATATATATTGCGTTTTGAAGAGAAAAGTATGTACATTTTTTAATATGATAATGTAAAAATTGCCCTTCCTTGGATGACCAGCTAAAAAAGTGTGAACTAAATTCCAATATTCAATGTAACGAGGGGATTATAAAACTGATGCTTTTTTAAGAAAAAAAAAATAACTCAGTTCTGCTTGGTTTTTAGTCTTTTCACACCAGGGGACAAAGGAAGGATGAACATATGGTAGGATGTTAGATAATGGAAACTTTAAAATATAGTTTCTCTGTTGTATCATATTAAGTTAAAAGTACACATTCTTTGTTAAAATGTTCTTGCTAAATAACTACAGTATTAAAACATTTTTTTTGACTTTGGAAATGGCTTCATTTTTTTATCCTTTTTTTTAATGCTGGATTATGAATCAGATAGTCATTTTACATTTTCAAGCAAATCAACTGAATCTACTTTTCAACACACCTACTGAAACAGTAATATTTTGGTATTCACACTTGTTCAAATTTGGCAAATATTATTTGCAAAAGTTACATTTAAAAAAAAAAACACTTTATTTTAGGATTCGATGCATAGAAAAAAGCAAGCCTTAAAAATACTTTCAAAAATTATGCAAGGCATTAAAACCTTCATTTAACAGACTATTCAGAGAGAGGATGTCTATTAATTCTGAAACTCTGTTCGATCCAAATCTACATCATCCATAATTTACACTAGTCTGTTTGCATAATGACATCGTATACATTTAGTTAATAGTATTAGAATTATATCCCACCTATTGGATCCCCAAAGCTTTGTATTTGTTCAGAGTGTTGCGGTGTAAATTCAGCTCCAGCAAAGTAAACACAGATGGCTGAGGCTTCATTTAACTTCTTTACAAACACATGAAGTAAATTTTACAATACCAGTTGTAAATTTCTCCAACATGGAGCAAACTCAAACAGAAGCAGACATGTTACAAGTTCAGAGCAGAGCACCAAGTCAAGAGCCCAAAACAGACATCAGTTTCACTTTAGTTCAGCAGGCAAGCAAGACACAACAGAAGAAACAGTTTCATTTTCAATAGACAGACTCAGAGCTCAGTATAGCTTCATAGCTGCAGAGCTTAATATAGAGCCATGCCAAGGCTACTTCTAGTTTCAGTTTCCAAACAGTCCTCATTGGCTGACTTAGTTGCTATGCCTATTCATTGGCTGACCTTGTTACCATGCTCTATTCCAATTCATGAATGTACTCTGACAGTATTTAATGCTTCTCACCACCTATAGGAGATGACCAGGCTAAGCCCGAGGGAGGGGTCAAATGTGTAATAAGTCACGAATCCCTGTGCACCCAAGAGAACTAAGTCCAGCCCACCTTAAATGCCTTTCTTATCTCCCGTTCATCTCCTTTGAATGTTAGTTGGCCAGATTCTTGTCGAGAGCTTAAGCTTGCCATAAACCTTTATACTCATTTGAATTTATATATACTCCCGATTCAACTGTTTATACTCCCGATTCAACTGTTGCTTGACATTGCCTTCCACTTGAACTGGAGCCAATACCCAGGTCAAAAATAGGATGTGACTTTTGTCTCTACTGAACATCATGAAGTCCAATGCACATCATTTTAATTTTTGAAAAACTCCAAGAAGAGTTAACAAAACCAATATTGTTAAAATTGAACAACTCGTTTCAAAATCCAACCCTTACTGCAGAGCAAATGTGATTGCTTTAAAAGATAGGTCATCTTAGCATTTTTCTCCTCAGAAGCCCAAGCTACTACATTTGTATTAGCTTGGTGAACACTTCATTGATTTTGCCCTTGCAAGAATAGTTTTAAATGTCAAAGTACTGGCAAATGAGGTTTAAGGAATCAAGAAACTCCAGAGAATGAATCCGTTGTAAAGTTGTTATTGGCTAGTGCCTGATAAATATTGACTACCCAAAGCATCAGACTTTCATGTCTCAAGCTGGTGAGATGTGCATGCTGGTAAGTAATGGCACATTTGAAAGATTTGTAGGAAGTTAATTCATTGAAGAAATGTCTAATTTAAGAATCCTGACTAGCTGATATGGTCTAGATCAGGGGTCACCAACCTTTTGGACCCCAGGGACCACCAAACTCATAATTTTAAATCCTGTGGACCACCAATATGAATTTTGACCAACGGTGGCTTGCTGACATGGGTGGGAAAGTAGGTGCCATATTCCAGAGCTGCAGTAGTCACAAGACTGGCCCTTTGGTCATCCCAGAGCAGCTCCTCCCCTCCATGGCAGGCCGGTGCACCCGGGTGGAAGAGCAGCTGCTCTGGGATGACCAAAGGGCCAGTCCTGTGACTACTGCAGCTCTGGAATATGGGACCAACTTTCCCACCCATGTCAACAAGCCACCCCGGGGCGGATTTCCTTCCCCCGCCATTGGTCTTCTACCTTCTAGTTCCAGCTCACGTGGCTCTACTCAAGGTAAGGTTTGTACTCGGCCGAAGGGTCGGGGGCAGCGGGTGGGTGGGCCATGCGGGCAGTGCAAACCTTGTGTTCCCACACAGCCTGGATTAATTGCTTTGGGGGGAATGTTTTGGAGGGGAGACATTTCTCTGCGCACCACCAAAATTTTCTTGTGGACCACCAATGGTCCCCGGCTCACTGGTTGTCGACCACTGATCTAAAGAAGATGTCCAGTGGTGGGGCTGCTGATGGTTCGGACCAGTTCAGGTGAACCGGTAATTCCAACGATCAGCTGGTTCCACCCACCTGCCCCGCCCTATCCTGTCCTTTATTTCCTGCATTCCAGCTCATCTCAATCGTACAACACCGTTGATTTCCCTCCCAACCCCGCTGTTCTACTGACAGTTGCTGATTTGGAAAGTAAGTAGCTGAGCTTCTAAATGCCCCATTTTCAGCGCTGTGCGCAAAGCCCACCACTCAAGATGTCCAACCAAGTTACAACTTTCAAATATCTAGAAATGGTCCTCCAGGCAACTGGCACCACTTATAGAAACCATACTTGTATTATGCACAGTTGATGAAGGTTCTGCACACCCAACACAGTATGGTTCCATCAAACATCTGGTGCCTTTTTCATCCCAGAAGCCATAAAACACTGTTCAACCAGAGTTATTCCTCAGTTATCACATGGTGCCCAAGTAGAACCGTATCATAATTGGCGTCCCTTTAAAGATAGTTCAGTCTAAATTCTTAGAGAAAATATTCCGAGTCTCTAGAAGCTCTCAGATATCTTGAGAAGCCGAGAAGAAAAGCTGCACTGCTAAAAATAAAAGAGTTATGAGCCCAGCCTTTCTACATTTTTCATTTTAAAAATATGTTTTACCAGGTTGGCCTGATTCAACATATATACTAGGAAATAACTCCATCACACATTGGAGAGTAATAATGGAAAACAAGCTTCATTAATTAGGATTGTCTTGGGAAACCCTACACATGCTAACCTATAATCAGGCAGGCAGAAAGATAAACTCACATATATTAGATTCAGAATGACAAAATAGCTCCTTTATCTAAGCATCTTCTCTTAAGCAACTCTGCCCCTGTGTGGAAACCAGAAAGTTACCTCAACTATAAAGCAATGCCTAAATATTTGATGGTTCCTCACCCTGACCAGTTGTGCTTACTGGAAGGGAAATCCAGAAGAGTCCATTATAATTACAAGCTATGTCCTTGTAGATCATAGTGGGATCTCTAAGCCAAGTTTTATTAGATTGCCTCTTCTACAGAGATCTTAGGAGCAGGTACGTGGCGCCTCTTTTAATGGACTTCCTAACCTGTATGGGACCTTTTCTTTTAAAAAAAAATTCAACTTGCTGGCTAGTAGAATCTTAACATTTCTTTTCTGCCTTTAAAATTAGAAGCCACATTCTGATCCAGCAAGAGAAATAACTGCCATGACATAAACAAAAAATCCTGTTTTCTTCTTTTACTGTACTTTTCCTTTAGTCAGCCTTTAAACCACGAGAAGAATATTCTATTTTTTTTTTTCTTTCTGGATATTCTGGCCTTTCAAAATAAATTGATTTTTTTAAAAATACAGATAAAACCAAGATGATTTTCGTTCAAACTCCATCTTGTATCTTCAGAAACGTAGGAAAAAGTTAAGCATGCACCTGTTCCACTGTTGTTATTGTTGGCATGTGAATGAACATGATAGGCCCATATACCATAGTTTCACCAAGATAACATTTCTCAGGATGTAAGGACCTGTCCCCCAAATATTACCAGCTATGTTCATTTGCTTCTTCTGCTTTTTA